AATAGAGGTGGGGAGAGTGGGCATCCTTGTCTTGTTCCCGATCTTAAAGGAAAAGCTTTCAGCTTCTCGCTAAGTATAATGTTGGCTGTGGGTTTGTCATGTATGGCCTTTATTATGTTGAGATTCTTGCCCTCTATACCCATTTTGTTGAGAGTATTTATCATGAATGTATGTTGAATTTTGTCAAATGCTTTTTCAGTGTCTATGGAGATGATCATGTGGTTTTTGTCCTTCTTTTTGTTGATGTAGTGGATGATGTTGATGGGTTTTCTAATGTACCATCCTTGCATCCCCGTGATGATTCCCACTTGATCATGATATGGATGATCTTTTTTATATATTTTTGAATTCAGTTTGCTAATATTTTGTTGAGTATTTTTATATCTATTTTCATCAGGGATATTGGTCTGTAATTTTCTTTTTTTTCTGTTCTCTTTGCCTGGTTTTGATATTAGAGTGATGCTGGGTTCATAGAATGAGTTTGGAAGTATTCCCTCTTCTTCTACTCTTTGGAAAACTTTAAGGAGTATGGGTATTAGGTCTTCACTAAACGTTTGATAAAATTCAGCAGTGAGTCTTGTCCAGGGGTTTTTTTCTTAGGTCGTTTTTTGATTACCAGTTCAATTTCATTGCTGGTAATTGGTCTGTTCAGATTTTCTGTTTCTTTCTGTGTCAGTCTTGGAAGGTTGTATTTTTCTAGAAAGTTGTCCATTTCTTCTAGGTTATCCAGTTTGTTAGCATATAATTATTAGAGCAAATTCTCTAATAATTCTTTGTATTTCTGTGGTGTCCATCATGATTTTTCCTTTCTCATTTCTGATTCTGTTTATGTGTGTAAACTCTCTTTTTTTCTTGATAAGTCTGGCTAGGGATTTATCTATTTTGTTTATTTTCTCGAAGAACCAGGTCCTACTTTCATTGATTCTTTCTATTGTTTTATTCTTCTCTATTTTATTTGTTTCCGCTCCAATCTCTATTATGCCCGTCCTTCTACTGATTTGGGGCCTCATTTGTTCTTTTTCTAGTTTCGTTAATTGAGAGTTTAGACTTTTCATATGGGATTGTTCTTTCCTGAGGTAGGCTTGTATTGTAGTATTCTTCCCTCTTAGCATGGCCTTCACTGCGTCCCACAGATTCTGTGTTTTTATTCGGTCATTGATCCATTGATTATTTAGGAGCATGTTGTTAAGCCTCCATGCATTTGTGGGCTTTTTCATTTTCTTTGCGTAATTTTTTTCTAGTTTCATACCTTTGTGGTCTGAGAAGCTGGTTGGTACAATTTTAATCTTTTTTAATTTACTGAGGCATTTTTTGTGGCCTAGTGTATGATCTATTTTTGAAAATGTTCCATGTGCACCTGAGAAGAATCTGTATCCTGCTGCTTTTGGGTGGAGTGTTCTGTAGATGTCAGTTAGGTCTGTCTGTTTTAATGTGTTGTTCAGTGCCTCTGTCTCCTTATTTTCTGTCTGGTTGATCTGTCCTTTGGAGTGAGTGGAGTGTTGAAGTCTCCTAGAATGATTGCATTGCATTCTACTTCCCCTTTTAATTCTTTTAGTATTTATTTCACATATGTAGGTGCTCTTATGTTGGGTGCATAGTTAATTATAATGGTCATGTCCTCTTGTTGGATTGATCCCTTTATGTAATGTCCGTCATTGTCTCTTGTGAGTTTCTTTGTTTTGAGGTCTATTTTGTCTGATACAAGTACTGCAATTTTTCTCCATATTAATTGCATGAAATACCTTTTTCCATCCCTTCATGTTTAGTCTGTGTATCTCTTTGGGCTTGAGGTGAGTCTGTCACAGGCAGCATGTAGTTGGGTCTTGTTTTTTTATCCATTCAGTGACTCATTGTTTTTTGATTGGTGCTTTCAGATCATTTACCTTTAGGGTGATTATCAATAGGTATGTACTTATTGCCATTGCAGGCTTTAGACTTATGGTTACCAAAAGTTCAAAAGTAACTTTCTTACTTCAAAGGTAACTTTCTTACTATCTAAGAGTCTAACTTAACTCACATAGTATGCTATTACAAACACAATCTAAAGGTTATTTTATTTCCTCTCCTTTTTTTCTTATCCATTCTTATATATTGGGTATTATATTCTGTACTCTTTGTCTATCCCTTTTTATTACCTCTGGTGACAGTTTTTTAACCTTAGGAACACTTCCATCTATAGCAGTCCTTCCAAAATACACTGTAGAGATGCTTTGTGGGAGGTAAATTCTTTCTGCTTTTGCTTATCTGGAAATTGTTCAATCCCTCCTTCAAATTTAAATGATAATCTTGCTGGACAGAGTATTCTTGGTTTGAGGCCCTTCTGCTTCATTGCATTAAATATATCATGCCACTCCCTTCTGGCCTGTAAGGTTTCTGCTGAGAAGTCTGATGATAGCCTGATGGGTTTGCCTTTGTATGTGAATTTTTTTTTATTATCTCTCTGGGGGCTTTTAACTGTCTGTCTTTATCCTTGATCTTTGCTATTGTAATTATTATATGTCTTGGTGTTATCCTCCTTGGGTCCCTTGTGTTGGGAGATCTGTGCACCTTCATGGCCTGAGAGACTATCTCCTTCTCCAGATTGGGGGAGTTTTCAACAATTACTTCCTCAAAGACACTTTCTATCCCCCTTTCTCTCTCTTCTTCTTCTGGTACCCATGTAATATGAACATTGTTCTGTTTGGATCAGTCACACAGTTCTCTCAGTATTCTTTCATTCCTAGAGATCCTTTTTTCTCTCTGTGCATCAACTTCTTTGTATTCCTCTTCTCTAATTTCTATTTCATTTGTCATCTCCTCCACTGTATCTAATCTGCTTTTAATACCCTCCATTGTATTACTCAATGATTGGATCCCCATCATAAAATCGTTCCTGAGTTCTTGAATATTTTTCTGTGCTTCCATGAGCATACTTATGATTGTTATTTTGAAATCTCTTTCAGGAAGATTGATTAGTTTAGTCTCACTCCACCCTTTTTCTGTTCTTGAGGATTTTGCTTTGAACCAGGTTCCTTTGACATTTCATATTTGTATATGGCACCCTCTAGGGCCCAGAAGCTCTACTTCCTGGAGCTGCTCAGCCCCTGGAGCGATGTTGGAGGTCGCACAGGAGTGGTTCTGCAGCCTGTGGGGAGGAAAGAGCTGTTTCCTCCTTCCTAACTGCTATGCCTGTCTCCACTGCCAGAACCACTGTGCCAAACACAGGTGTAACCTTCTATGCTTTGTGTTTATAGCTGTTGTAGGCGGGGCCTCCCTCTGTCCTGCCTGTTGCCACGGGAGGGTTTGCTGGTTTGCGAACCAGGAATGGGCTGGCCAGGAGGAAGGTGCAGCAGGCTGCATATCACAGTGGGAGGCCTTGGTGCTGCATAGCCAGCCAGGGGGATGGAGTGCTTGAAGCCTGTGAAAGTTCCCAGCCTGCTGGGCAGAGTGCACCCAGCCAATTTTGTCTACCTGTCCTTTCTCCTGAGCAGTACGCTCTATGCAATCCTTGCCCCTTTAGCAGCCTTCTCGCTTTTAGGAAGTCTCATACCGCCCACCCAGATCAGGCAGATATGCATCTGTTTTCCACAAGCAACTGGAACTCAGTCTCTGCAAGTATCCCGCCTGTCTTAGCTTTCCAACCCCACTAATCACCAGGACACCATGCTCCCAGAGGAGATCTCCAGAGCTAGGTCTTCAGCAGTTCCAGGCCTCCATTCCCTGCCTGCTCTGTTTCTCTTCCTCCCGCTGGTGAGGTGGGGTGGGGGAAGGGCTTGGGTCCTGGTGGGTTGTAGCTTTGGTACCTTACCCTGTTCCATATGGTCTGGTCTTTTCTCCTGGTGTATGCTGTCTGGTGCAGCCTTCTTTCCCATTGCTCTTTCTGGATTAGTTGTATTAATAATATTTTTGTATTATAATATGGTTTTAGGAGGAGGTCTCTGTCTCACCTCTCATGCCGCCATCTTTAATCCCCTTAGTGTTTCTCCTTAATCCTGTAGATTTGTTCCAAACATCTGGTGGTCCTTGGTTTTGCTTTCATATTTAAAACTGAGACTTCAAAAAAACGTTGTGTACATGTATAGTCACTGGAGCCTGGCAAACAGTGAGGTTAAGCTTGGCCATTATTTCATACCAGATTTCAGTGGGCTTTGTTCTGTATCTCCACCTCTCATATTAACTGCACTGGCTTTCTCTGTATAATTTGGTTTCTTTAAAAAAATAACCTTTCAAATGTGCATATGTGTGTTTACACACATTTGTAGGAAGAAATGCCTACCAGCCAAGTGTCCTGATCTAACAAATCATAAACTTTGAATTCACTATCCCACACTTACTCTGAACTCTCTTGTTTATTGATTGACACTTCCCCTAATCACCTTGCTACTGTAGGATTACTTTTTTTAAGTCTGCTACTATTATTTTAGTGGATTCTGGAGAAAGAGCTAAACATATGTATTTATACGCCATTTTGAACCAGAAAACATTCTTTTAAAATGGAATTCCATAAAGAAGATAGTGCTGTAGCTATTAGTAATTGTACATTTATTTTAGTTTCACATGTTTATATATTACTAGATTTAATAGAAGAAGCTAGCCATAAAAGTCTTACGTTGTCTATAATATTATTATCTTTCTTGATCTTAAACAGTTGATGACTGTCAGCCAGTTCGACTATTATGTAAACCTGGGGAATTGAGAAGAGAATATGAAGAGGAGATAAGCAAGGTAGATACTAAGCTGTTTTTTTGGGGAAAATTCTGTGCTTTGTTTTCAGTTCCAGAGTTTACAGTTTTATGTGCTCATATGTATAGTATACTGTGTTGAAATGTAAATAATTTTAATATACTTTAAAAAGGCTCCATTTTTTACATGTGTTAAAAAGTTACAAATTAGCTTTAATTTATTTATACATAATTGGTGCTCTTCATTTCCCTGAAGGTTTGAGCTTAAAGAATAAAAAAAAGCATTGTAAATTATGGGTGTCTTAGTCCTTTTGGGTTGCTGTAACAAAAATACATACCATAGATGGAAGTGACTAAAAATTTCTCACAGTTCTGGGTCTGGGAAGTCCAAGATTAAGGCTCTTACAGATCTGGGGTTGGTGAGGGCCTGCTTTCTGGCTTATAGACAACTGCCTCCTTGCTGTATCCTCCTATGGCAGAGAGAAAGAGAGAGAGACAGAGGTCATTCTCCCTTGTAAGGGTACTAATCCCTTTCATGAGGACTCCACCCTCATGACCAGTTACCTCATAAAGGTCCTATCTAAATAACATCACATTGGGGATTGGGGCTTCAACATGTGAATTTGGGGGTCAAATCAGTGAGGTTTAGTGAGGAGGGCACGAAGGGCTAATTGTGAAGTATCTAAATAGGAAGAGAGGAAGTAGTGCTTACAGAAGAGCCTTTGAATTTCACTAATCCTGGGAGAGCTCGTGTTCCTATTCCTCCTACTACCTGCTTAGTTATAGAGCCCTATTATCCAAAGAAATACAATGTGAGCCCATATATAATTTAAATTTTTCTAGTAGTCACATCTTTTAAAAGGATTTTTTTAAACAAATAAAATTAATTTTAATACATATTTTTAACCCAAAATATCTAAAATATTCTATGTAGTCAATATAGAGAGTATTATGTAAAATTAAAGTTATATGTCAGATTATATAATTAGGTCTTTGTCTTGCCAATGAGTTTCAGCTCTGGGCAACTTCACTGTGGATTCAATATGACCAAAGAAATGACAATAAAACATTCTTGGGGCGAAAGGGTTTATAACCAAGTTTATTTCCATGGTGGCGGTTCAATCACTAGAATCCTGTCCACTCAGAGCAAGTCTGTCTGCAGCAAGCTGTTCTCTGCCTCTGGGCCCCTCTGCCTGCACAGCCATTCTCTGGGCTTCTCTACCTGCACAACCATCCTCTGGGCAGCTGTCTTCTGGGCCTCTGCCCACACAGCCATCCACTGGACCTCTCTGCCTGCACAGCCATCCCAGTCTCTGTCCTTGGTACTGCCACCAATCCAGCCTCTCCTCTGCTCTCCTGCAGCCTTGCAGCAATGCCCCCATGTCCCCCAGAGCACTGGGCAGGGCTCTTTATGTATAAAGTCAGTAACAAAGCATTGCCCAACTGTGTGTAGGGAACTAGCCAACCAGGGCCATGTTAGAATCCTGGCCACAAGAACCTTAATTTTATCCACATTCCACCCCTTCAGGATTCTCGCCTCTCAGTCTATGTACCCTCAATCCTCTGCAATGGTCCCTGTGCAAGGAACATTGTATTCCAATTCCATAATCTACGATAATGCACAAATAAAAAAATTACAACAAATTATAATAATCCTCAAGCCTGAGGAGATCCACTGCTACCAAGTGATCATCTTGGCTGTCTTCAAACCAGTTCTACTCAAATGAGTTAACCAAAAAGACCATGGGTGGGCCTTACAATACCCACTTTCTCCAGCCTCTCCAGCAAAAAGTCTTGCAGACACACAGGCCGATCTTGTTGCTTTATCTCTGCCTTCTGCTTTGTCCTCAGCAGCCGGAACCACCACTCCCGTACCAGTCACTGCCACACTCCAGTCATCCAATTTCTTTACATCTGCTTCTGCCTTTTCAAACCAACCCACACCTGAATCCTCATGACCTTCATGGGGCCCATTAAATTCTTTTTTTTTTTTTTTCACTGTTCAAACTGCTCTTGATAATTTTTTTTCTTTTTTTTTTCTGAAAAGGCATCTCTCATATTTATTGATCAAATGGTTGTTAACAACAATAAAATTCTGTATAAGGGAGTCAATGCTCAATGCACAATCATTAATCCACCCCCGCCTAATTTTCATCAGTCTCCAATCTTCTGAAGCATAACAAACAAGTTCTTACATGGAGAACCAATTCTTACATAGTGAATAAGTTACATGGTGAACAGTACAAGGGCAGTCATCACAGAAACTTTCGGTTTTGATCACGCATTATGAACTATAAACAATAAGGTCAAATATGAATATTCGTTTTATTTTTATACTTGATTTATATGTGGATCCCACAATTCTCCCTTTATTATTATTATTATTTTATTTTTAATAAAATGCTAAAGTGGTAGTTAGATGCAAGATAAAGGTAGAAAACATAGTTTAGTGTTGTAAAAGAGCAAATGTAGATGATCAGGTGTGTGCCTGTAGACTATGTGTTAATCCAAGCTAGACAAGGGCATTAAAACATCCACAGATGCAGAAGATTTCTCTCAAAATGGGGGGTGAGGTTCTAAGCCTCACCACTGTTGATCCCCAATTTCTCACCTGATGGCCCCCCTGCAACTGTGCCTGTCTTAGGGTTGATCCTCCCTTGAGGAATCTTACCCGTCTCTGGCTAACCAATCATCTTCCGGGTCCATACAGGGAAATATAAAGTTGGTAAGTGAGAGAGAAGCCATATTGTTTGAAAAGCTTAGCTTTTTACTTCTTTGCAGATTTATGCCCTGTGGCTTCTATGCCCAGCACTTGTCTCGAGGTATCTTTACCACCTGGAGGAATTATGATACTCGGTAAATTCGATATGAGGCACGAATTCTATTTAAGGGTTGTAATTAGGAAGGAAGAAGAAAAGCTATAGATGTAGCATATGAAGGAAACTTGGGAGGATTGATTATTTCTTTGACATATCTTCTTGTATAGTACCTTAAGTATGTATAGGTTTTAAACTACTAACTAATTTGCACACACATATTAACATAATAGGAATACGGTGACATAAACAAAGCAAATCTATAATTACCAGCCATCTCCAGTGAAGCCAAGAAAACCATTTAGGCACCCTAGGCATTTGTGAAAATTTATCTATGATATGATGGATATTGTCCAACTGTACTTGAACCATCAGACAAATTAAAGCAGCCCATTTCTGGGATCTGTTCACATCCCATATGTTCTTTTAACCATAGATAGTCTATAGTCATGAGATTTTGGAGTGCTACAACTTGCACCCCTCCCAACTCCTGGTTGAGTTCCAACAGTACAGATCCGGTCAAATTCGTTGTCTCACTGTATGCACATGCCAGCCTAGACATCTCCCTCCTCATTCTTATGGCAAGTCCAGGAGACGGTGGGCTGGATGCAGCCACAACCGCAGCATCGTCCGGATCCCTGTGGAGGCTTTTTGATGATCATCCCCCGGCACGAGTCCTCCAGAGAGTGCTGATGCCGGAAGCTCCTCCTCATATCGTATCTTAGTTCATTTTCTGGGTATCCAAGCTAGGCCTTGATCTTCTGCGTAGAAACAAACAGACCCTTTGCCCACACTTTGACATGCCCTCTATACCACTGTGCAGAACTCATTGGAGGTCAGCACACAGTAACTGCTTTTTTTTTTTTTTTTATTTAAGAGAAAGGAATATTATCAGAAAAGAGTACCTCCATAGCTGATCATCTGACACCCTTTAAGTGATCAACATTAAGGATATTTAAAGCATGCGTTGATCTTTGATTTACCAATAGTTTTATCCTGTTAAGGAGTAATCCCCCTTTTCTTTCTTTCTTTCTTTTTTTTTTTTAATTTTTAATCTACACTTACCTGAAGAATACTATGTTTACTATGCTCTCCCCTATATCAGGTCCCCCCTAACAACCACATTACGGTTACTGTCCATCAGCTTAGCAAAATGTTGTAGAGTCACTACTTGTCCTCTCTGTGTTGTGCAGCCCACCCTCCCCTTTCTCCCTCCCCCCCATGCATGCTAATCTTAATACCCCCCTTCTTCTTCCCCCCCCTTATCCCTCCCTGCCCACCCATCCTCCCCAGTTCCTTTCCCTTTGGTACCTGTTAGTCCATTTTTGGGTTCTGTAATTCTGCTGCTGTTTTGTTCCTTCAGTTTTTCCTTTGTTCCTATACTCCTCAGATGAGTGAAATCATTTGGTATTTCTCTTTCTCCGCTTGGCTTATTTCACTGAGCATAATACTCTCCAGCTCCATCCATGTTGCTGCAAATGGTTGGATTTTTCCACTTCTTATGGCTGAGTAGTATTCCATTGTGTATATGTACCACATCTTCTTTATCCATTCATCTACCGATGGACATTTAGGTTGCTTCCAATTCTTGGCTATTGTAAATAGTGCTGCGATAAACATAGGAGTGCATCTGTCTTTCTCAAACTTGATTGCTGCGTTCTTAGGGTAAATTCCTAGGAGTGGAATTCCTGGGTCAAATGGTAGGTCTGTTTTGAGCATTTTGATGCACCTCCATACTGCTTTCCACAATGGTTGAACTAATTTACATTCCCACCAGCAGTGTAGGAGGGTTCCCCTTTCTCCACAGCCTCGCCAACATTTGTTGTTGTTTGTCTTTTGGATGGCAGCTATCCTTACTGGTGTGAGGTGATACCTCATTGTAGTTTTAATTTGCATTTCTCTGATAATTAGCGATGTGGAGCATCTTTTCATGTGTCTCTTGGCCATCTGTATTTCTTTTTTGGAGAACTGTCTGTTCAGTTCCTCTGCCCATTTTTTAATTGGGTTATTTGTTTTTTGTTTGTTGAGGCGTGTGAGCTCTTTATATATTCTGGACGTCAAGCCTTTATCAGATCTGTCATTTTCAAATATATTCTCCCATACTGTAGGGTTCCTTTTTGTTCTATTGATGGTGTCTTTCGCTGTACAGAAGCTTTTCAGCTTAATGTAGTCCCACTTGCTCATTTTTGCTGTTGTTTTCCTTGCCCGGGGAGATATGTTCAAGAAG